TTTCTCACCCTCCCCTTTTCCCCGTCTGTCTCTCTCAGGTCAAAATTAAAGAATAATGATAATAAATGAAATTAAAAAAAAAAAAAAACTGTTATCTGCAGACATTGGGAATATGGTATAATATAAGACACACAAGGTCCTTGTCTTGAAGAAACTTACTTTCTAATAGTGAAAACAGAAGATAGACAAACATAGCATAGTAGGTTATGATTAATACAATGAAAACATTGAACAGGATAATGTAAAGAGTAAGCAGCGGAAGCCTTTATATCAGGATATTTAAAAAGTCATATTTGGGACCAGCGGGTGGTGTGGTGGTTAAGTGCTGGACACTCCCACATGGCTCACCATGGTTCAAGTCCTGGACCTGGTGGCTTGCTTTCTCATCCACCCCCCCCCCCCCCGTCCCCTCTCGCTCAAATTAAAATAAATGGATGAATAAATAAAATTAAATAAATAATTATTTTAAAAAAATAAATAAAAAGTCATATTTTGCAGAATCTCTGGAAATATTTACTGTGTGCCAAAATATATGTGGCCAGAATAATGTCTTTTTTTTTTTCCTCATAGACTTATGATTTTTTACAGTTCTGAAATTAATAGAATATTGGAGATAGGACTAAAAGATCCTATCTTGCTCATACCCAAGATCCCGAGAGGAGAATGGAGGAGAAGGGATTGCGAAGTGGCCATCCCCCCCTGGGGGGGGATGATTTCTTGCTTTCTGTTTCTCTTTCTCTCTCTGTCTTTCTGGCAAATGTATGCGTCCTATAACAAAACCTCTCTAAAGGGGGAAAATTAAAGTTGCATTCATGGAGCCTGCAAGTCACATGGCTATTAATGCACTGGACTCCCACATGGTCAACTGCAGTTCAATTCCCAGACCTGGTATCTTGCTCTCTCACTTTCTGCCTCTGTCTCTCTCTTTTTCTGGTCAAATTAAAAATAATGATGATGATAGATAAAATTAAATAATGATTCTTTAAAAATAGTTGCACTAATGGAAATAAAGATTAGAATCACAATTACCAGTCTTCATGCAGTAGGGTGGGGAGTAGCTGGGGACATATTGAGAGTGGGGGTAAAACGAAAATGCAGAGGGGACCAGCAGGTGGCATGGTGGTTGGGGGCGCTGGACTCCCACATGGCCAACCATGGTTCGAGTCCTGGGCCTGGTGGCTTGCTTTCTTATGCTCTCTCTCTCTCACGCTGTCATTCCCTGGTCAAATTAAAAAATAAATAAATGGACAAATAAATTTGAATAAAATTATAAAAAAAATGCAGATGGCATGTTTTGAAAAAGTATGCTTAGGTAGCTAGAGTTCATAGTACAGGAGGGTAAATAGGTGAATTAAATTTATAAAAGTTCTTGAAATGAAGTAATAGGGCTTGTTTTTGATCAGAGACATGGTATGTCTAGAATCAGATTTTAGGAATGTAACTTCACAGGACCAGCAGGTGATACGGCGGTTAAGGTACTGGACTCCCACATGACTGACCACAGTTCAAGTCCTGGACCTGGCATTTAGAAACCATGCTGGACATGTTTGCATGCCCAAAATCTTGAGAGGAGAATGAAGGAAAAGGGAATTACAGTGTGGTCATCCCCTCTGAGGGGGTGATTTCTCACTTTCCTTTCCTCTGTCTCTATCCAGTGAGCCACACGTGCCCTATGACCCCCCCAAAAAAAAATACTAAAAAAGAAAATTTCACAACACTATAGAAGAAAGAAAACTCTTAAGACTAGATTGAAATGTAGATTCCATTTAAGAAGAGTTTGGTAGTACCTGAACAAAAAGTACTGTCTGGAATTGGGAATGGAGGCTTCAGTGGGCAGTGGTTGGATAGATGAAGGGAAAGAAAAAGGAAGAATCAAAGATAATTCAAGATTTCCTACTAGGTGATTGGAAGTATATTGGTACCATTAACATTTCCAATTTTGGTAGAAGTAGACTTGAAGAAGGAGGTAAAGAGTTTATATTTAATGAACACTTGGAAAATGTTGAGTCTAAAAATTAATACTAAGAGCCAGAAGCCAAGACTTTAGGGTCATTGTTAAGACTGATATTGGTTGTTATACCAGAAAGTAATATTTCTTTATTTGCTAAATATATAAAAAATATTGTTCAAGGGCCAGTAGGTGGCATGGTGGTTGAGGCGCTGGACTACCACATGGTCAGCTGTGGTTTGTTTGAGTCCTGGACCTGGTGGCCTGCTTTCTCACTTTCCCGTTCTCTCCCTGACTCTCTGGTCAAATTAAAAAATAAATAAAAGAATAAAATAAATCCTTTTTTTAAAGAATTATTTTATTTAACTTTATTCTTTTTATTTGACTAGAGAGGGACAGGGTAAGAGAGAGAGGAAAGTGAGAAAGCAAGTTGCCAGGTCTGTGACTCGAACCATTCAGCCATGTGGGAGTCCAGTGCCCTTAATCACCATGCTACCTGCTGGCCCCAGTAAATAAATCTTAAAAAACAGTATTATCCAGGGGCTGGCAGATGGCATAATGGCTAGGGCACTGGACTCCCACATGACCAACCATGGTTTGAGTCCTGGACCTGGTGGCTTACTTTCCCACTCTCCCTTTCTCAGTCTCTTTCTCGTCAAATTGAAAAATAATAATAATAAATAAATAAAATTTTAGAAAAATATTATTCAAGAGACAATGTATAAAATTTACCATGTAGAGCAAGTCTTTGAAAGAATTGAGCTTTGAAATAAGTCAGTGGACCCTACAAACTAAACAGAATCAGGGTTAACTTTGAAGAGCATACGCTGATTTATATGTGGTGTTTCAACTGCAGATCTCCATTGGTGGTAGATTATACGGGACATATTTTTTATCTTTCTCGTCTATATTTGCATGATGAGAAAAAAGAAATGGTTATCATATTTAAAATAACCGTTTATAAGGGATTTTTATGTTTTAATGAGAAAGAAAGAGAGAATACAAGAGGAAAAGAGAGAGAGAGAGAGAAATAGGTAGTTTTGTCAGGGTCTTGCATATCATAGTCGTCCTGCCCCAGTTTCCCAGTCAGCTAGGACCACAGGCACTTGCCACTGTGCCTAACCTGTTTTAGATTGAGCCAGGAATGGAACCTGGGCCTCCCACACAGCCCCAGCCATTGCACGGTGGTGCCCTCCCACTTGTGCCACTGCAGCTGGGCCTAAAAAAGTTATAACTTAAGTTATTATTCAGCAGACTTGAGGAATGGTTTTCATTTCTGTGTAACATTACACATTTAAGTAAATTCATATGGGTACCACTGCCAGGAAATAACCTATTTATGGTTACTGCTGCCCATCCACAGAAGTTTTTCCTATTTTACAGTTTTAAAAAATCTCTGTAGTACTCAAAAACTTGTAAGGTTTGGTTATAAAATGAAAACAATGTGTAAGCTGTGATATGAAAGAGTCCAAATTTGGGAATGTAATTCCCTCTGTGATTGAAAGAAATACGGTGGGGTTTTTTTTAGAAACACTTAAAATATAAAAAGAAAGGCTCATGCTACCAATTCTTCATAGTATTTTTTTAATTGGTTGGTGTTTTAAACTAAAGTAATTACTGTTAGATGCTGGTTAGGTCCCAAAGTAAAAGAAGGTTAGAAAATAGTTGAATTTTTTTATGTCACAAGTTTGCAATTTCAAGTTTGGATTCTGCACAGAAACTCTTCTTGATTATTAGTCATTTGATTTTTCTAATTATGAAACGATAACACCCACAGTTCTGTTTTATTCCAAATCTTCTAATTTACTCATGCCAAAATGTGTCTGCTATTTTTTTAAATGTTGATAATATTTGGATGCATATTTGTAAATGAATGTGCAGGTGAAAAAATGAATTGCAAAAGAGCATTTTAAGAATAATATAGAAACAATAATTTGCCTGTTCGCAAATGTGTAAGTATCAATTCTGTTTACTTTTTGGTGAAAATACTGAACTACATAGTAACTTCAGGGAAGTTTGATATTTCTTTTATATGATTTATATTAAGTATGTAAATATGTTATTACATTTAGTTTACTCCTGTAACTGTATTAAATAGGAGAATCTTGTTTTATGCTAGTGCAATAAGTTAAGAAAAG